ACAGTGTTTCAAATTTTTACAACCTTCAGGGTACTTTAAGTGGGTCGTTTTCAAACAACATTAGGTTATTCGGTTTTTGGCGATTGGATTAGTGGGAAAGTTTAAAAGGAGACTCTAGACCATTTTTTAAATTTCATCAAACACGGAAAGATTGGGAAAATGGTTAAATGGATGCCAAACTGTTTATAACCTTTGCCAACGGAAAAAATATTCTTGCAGGGGGAACCCCCAGTTTGGGCAAATGGATTTCATTGAGAGGGGGTTACAGGAGAAGGGATTATAGGACCTTAGTATATTTTCGGCTATCTGATAGGGCATAAATATTTAACCCGGTTTAAATAAGGTCTTATATTCTTGCCCTCGTCGAGTCAGGCTTGTAGTGTAAGGGGGCCCAATAGAAAGGGATGTTTGACTTATTTTTCTCTATTAATTAGAATGGTCTTTAACTCTTAATTCGCTTTCTTAAAAATAGAGTCATTAGTAAACACCTTTCATGTTTGAGGCGCGTTTAACTCATTTTAACCTCCACTTCTAGAGGGGTCTACTTTTAACCATTCTATATTTTTTATTTGTTTGGGCAATGTTTATTGGAGGGTTAACTCACTGTTTAACCGATGGTAATGATTTTTTTTGTGTTGTGCGGTGTAAGGTGAGTTGGTTTAGGAAGTGAAGGGGTTTAGTTTCTCATTATCCCCTCATTAACCTATTTGGATAACAATTAAAATTTATTTAACGTTGATATTTTAAATATAGTGCTTTCCGACGAGTCTATCGGACTAAGAAGCTTACACTATGGTTAGTCTCGTTTCTTATGCTCTTCTTTTCATCTTAAACCCTATACTAAAACAGGACTCGGGTTATTTTACAAGAGTCTTTTAAAAAATTTTAGAGTTATTTTAGCGGGGCTAGTTTTTGAAAAAAAGAAATGTTTAGCAGGTACGTTTGAGCGGCTCACTGTTTTACACAAACAATTATAGCAACGTATTAAGTGCTAATTGTGGAAAAAAAAGTGGAGGGTGCGTAAGCGCAAGGGGTATAAAATTTTTTTGGGTAACTATCATTTGCTACCAACAATACATGGGGGGTAATTAACAAGGGTTGAAACTTTGATTTTTTGAAAACCAATAGCTTGGCCATTATACAAATGCTAATTTACTTGTTTATGATATGTACTCACATAATGGGATGGTTTTCCATTTAATAAAATTTTATTGCTTTAAAATTGTCCTAAAGGTCAATAGTCTAGATTAAAATTTACGTAAAGCAATTTTAGGACTGCGTATCGTTATTATTCTAGCAATATGTACACAGTTTTGTAATGCGTATATTAATGATAGGGAACCGTGGTCTATGGTTATATATCTTTTTTTTTTCTATAATTAGTTGTGTCACTTTTGGGCTGGAGCGGTAGGAGGACAGCCTAGTTCCACAAAACTTCAACACCAAAACAAATTTAATCCACACTTGAATCACCCGGAAAGTAGGTACCCATTATATCTTCTAACTTTTAAAACAATTCCTTAATTACACCTTTGATTCGCTTTCCACAACACTTGAGGCAATCCACCAGCCGAAACGGCTGGTACCGTATCGCCCTTACAAACTAAGAAACCCACCCTTGTGTGCTTCGCCCACTCCTAAAAGACGTCCTCGCTTATTGAGTTCACCAATGACTTCTAATATCTCTGGTTGAGCTTCTGTTTTTTAAATGAAGTCCATATTTTTAGAGAATTTAGGAATAAAACGGATTTTAGGTTTATTAGCGCGGGCTCTGAGCGGGTAGGTTTGTTCTTTTGCGGCCAGGCACACCCAGGCTCACGGGACCCACACGCGAATTCGAGCGGCTGACCCATAGAGGGGCTTTGGGATGGGGCAGCGAGAGAACAGCGCGGCAGGGGCTTGACGCGCCTGCCCTGATTAGATGATATAAAGGGAAACAGAGGGTAGAGGGATTATAAGGTTGTGACGATGCGTTGTTAATAACATGTGGATTTAAAAGCAAGGTGAGGAGGGCTTCGGATTTCCTTCTGAAGCCTGGGATGGAAAGAGGGAGCTTTTCTTGAGGTGGAGGCTTTTCAATTACTTATAGGTGAGGTAATGGCAAATTGACGGGAGTTGGCCGTGGAAGTTTAGGCCACTGTGGTTTTATCTTAATACCTTTTCAAGGGCTATCATTGGGGCTTGGGATGCTTTGCGAAGTTTCACATGCTTTTCCGCTTATGGGAACCCAATTCCCTTTGTTATTTCGTTATGATTTATATTGCCTCATGGTTATTCATCTGGTTTTACTAAAGTGTGTATATCTTTTTTTTTGTGGCAAAGAAATACTTCATATTCCCTTTGTGTTAATATAACCGTTCTCCCTTCGGTCTTTTTCAAAAGAAGGGTCACAGGGCATTTGGAAAGTTTGAACGATGTATGTCGGCAAGTTGTAGGGAAGGTTTTTAAGGAACATTTCTAATGAATTAGGTGGTTTGTGTCTGCCTTGCAGATCCGAACATTGAAATTAGCGGGGTTAATCCTGTTAGATCTTTCTTCAGTTTAAAAATTGGAAGAAAACAATTCTTTAAAACATACTAGGGCCATGGATTAATGGCCCAAAGAGATCTACACCCAATGATTTAAGGAAGGGCGGAAGGGTCTTTACCTGTCTAATCCATGTTTGGCTTGATCTTCGATTTTGGGTTTGGTGGCATCTTCTAACCTTAGGGGTTTTTTTCCTTAGGCCCGGATTTCTCTTAGATGGGGTGAAGGAGTTAGAGCATTGACCTAGGTTAGGGGGGGACATCACCGTTTAACTTTTATTGTTGTGTGTCTTTTTGTAATTTAGCCCTCAATATTACAATTTACCGGCGGTTGCCGCAATTAACGCCCGATAATATATTTAATTACCCCAGATTAACCAAATTATTAATCACCCCCCACTTTTTAGCTGAGGTTTTCCTGAAACGATAGCAGATTACGATTGATTTATTCATTATGTGCCCCCAAATAGATTTTATTAGAAAATTACTCCAGGCAAGTCTTTGCACTTTGCGCCATATGATTGCCTTAACTGTTCCATGTACTTATGGGAGAGACTCAAATTGCTGATTCCCTGAAGATGGTATTGCGAAGCGATCTGTCCATTGACGTATTGATGCATATATGGATTCAATCGGCCCTTGTCACATTTTTTACGTTTGGACTGCGGGGGACCAGCATCAATTGGTCATTATAGCCTCCATTCAAATGACTAGATAATCCATGAGATGTGCAGCATCGAAAATTAATGGGCCAATGTTGATCCAGGATCATGTCTATTTTAAAATTGCTCCTCATTAGTGAAGGTCAAACGCAAATCATAATGTAAGCAGCAAGTGAGTCTTAAACGTTGAAACTTTTATTTCTGTATCAGCGGACAATAAAGACAAATCCTTAACGGCCCCCACCAATTACAACATCCCTTACACAAAAATTAAGTTTCCTCAACGATATCCATCACCATGCAGCAGTACTGCTCATTGGAACAGACCTTAGGGGTTGGCCATTTGCCTTAGTAAGAGGATCAGCTAAACATTGGTTTTTGCACCATGTGGGCTTGATGGGATATTGTCATCCTTCATGTCCCTATTTTCTTATCACAACACAGGACCTTTACTATCAATTGTTTTTGAGATGTTGATTTGAGCTACGTGTTGTTATTGGAATACTACATGCAGTCAGATTTTTATTTGTTCTAATATAGCCTTAGTGGTCTTTCCCCCAACGATTTTCTTCCACTACACATTGCGCAAGATTTCCCCGTGAACAAAATTTCCGCAGCACGAATACATCCCTAGACCTGGATGCATACAGGCACGCTAACAAGATTATCTGGTGCCTAGTGAGGACAGCAGCTTAAGTGTCTTGTTTTGAACACTTTTCCCAAATAATAGCTCCTGCTGGTAATATAAAATTGTTCAGCACTGATGGCTAGAGCTTTTTCTGTATATGTCCAAGCACCATTCGCAGAGCTCGGGAGATTTACCCAATTTGACTTTAATGTCTTGAATTTTCTGATATGTGGAGCTCTGGTATCTTTTTGCTTTTTTCTGAATTACGTATAACCTTTCGACTGCTATCAGTAATCCATTTATACGGGTTCGACTTGAAAGTATCTGCCTTAAAAATTCCAATGGTACGCAGATATTGTCCGATCTCTCCTTCT